ATTATTGCGGATTCAGAAGCACTAAGAAGAATGCAAAAAAAACCAAATCAGAAAAAACTCAAATGGCACGAGAAGCTATAGAGGTATGTGGAAACGAAATTCAGCTTTTACTTGAAGAATTAATAAGAAAACAGACAATAATTTACAATTTTCACAAGTTTTAAATCTCTGTGCATTAACACATGATATTTCTGACTTTACAGAAGCTGTTAAAACCAAACTTCATCAATTAACAACAGATGAAATTAATGGTCATCAATTATTGTGCTTTTTAAAAATAACAAATATGTACTTGCAACTAAAAAGCTCCCTTTCAACACCATAATTTTGTAAAAATAAATCAAGTTCATCTCCCAATACATTCATTTCTCGTACAATATGGCTGTGCAAATGAAAATGTACTTAAAAATAGATCAAAAACATCAGCTAAAAGGACCTTCCCAGGACCTCAAGGACAATTCTTAAAAGGATCATGAAACAATTCTGGAAGCAAAATCACCAGTAACAAGAAAAATGATCCTTCCGTTTCTTGAAATTACAAAATGGAATCACTTGCCTAAAATTGTATCTGCTGAGGAATTTGATTTCAATTAATTGCTTCTCACTTTTTCTCCTTCATAAACGTTCTTTTTCATACAATTCTTACCCAGCCAAGCACCAATTTCAAGCTTTACGCTACAGCAAGCACCGTCTGAGACAACAACCATTAAGAAAGATGTATCGCCAGTTTCAAGTTCTGCATCGACATATCAACAAGGAATCCTAATGAACAGCAGCATTTACGCAAACAAATAGTGAGTAAACTTTACCTGATAATTTAAATATTTTTTGTTTTATTCCATTTTTAGGTTTATTATACTTTTGAAACTCGAACATGCCCTACCGTCCTGCCCAAATTTTTTTTGGGCACAAAGAATCCTTTCATTTTGAAGGAAATATACAGCAAAAATATTTCTGGTTTTAATTGGGCGACAAAAGTAACACGTTTGGGAAAATCTTTCTACATGTGGCAGCTTTACAATTGGGATTGTAAATCTATATTCTGTCAAAAATAACCCATTTAATCACTTCAATTCCACTTCCATCCCATTCGCAGAAAAATTAGAATTTCCTTTGAAACAATTTCCATAATTTTTATCTCATTCATTCCTATTCATACTTTGACATGACAGAAAAAAAGCACGGAACAAACAACCACACTCGCCAAACCAATCATTTGAAATGATATCGTGCCTTTTTTCCCTCATCCACACTTCCGCATATAACATCCAACACATGCATTTGTTGTCATCATTTTTCCGATGAATTTTAATCACATTTTCAAATGTCTGAATACATTCGACATGTTAATTATGTTTATTTCACATTTTCACATTCAATAATAAAAATAGAATCGGAAAACAGTGAAAAAAAGAGTTCTTTTTTAAATTCATCGTGAGCTTGCATGACCATAGAGGATTTTAATTAGCGGCATATTGCATAATATTATTTTATTTTTTCGTGTATTTGTGAATGCTTTCAAATGAAAACATTGATGTTATTCATTTGAAAATTCATTATAATCACGAAAATATTTTTTGTTTGGGTTTTGGGGGAAAAATAAAAATTAAGTTTTAAGGATTTTGAGTTATTTTTGGTTTTTTGTGGAATACACATTTTTGTTTTTAGTCAAATTTTAATTTTTGTTGGTCCACGAACTTTGAAAGAGAAACTGTTGACATAGCTTGTGATGGAGCTCCTCTAATATATGATCATGTGGTGTTGAAGCAGAGATGAATTTTGGGTATCGAGCCATATATAGACGAATCTGTCACCACAAGAGTAAGGCTTCAGTGGCGCGAGTGGTTAGGCAACATACCAAACTTGTAACCCTGTTTCATGAATACATGGGTTCGATTCCCACCAGTGACCTAAATTATTGTAAAGGTGCTATCGATATGACGAGGATTTGTGATCACGTGATCATGACATTACAGATCTGGTGCTATATTGAGCCTCTAATTATATCACAGCTTAATAAACATGCTTACTGGTACCTAATTGGTATCAGAGGAGGATCAATTAGCTTGCATAATATACCAAACTTTACTATATTAATGTAAAAAGCACATTGATCACATCCTTTAAAAGCAGGGCTAGCTTTAAGCTAAAGTATGTAGAACATATTGATGTGTATACATTCAGTAGAATAAGTATGCATGTATCAAATGATGATTAGTTCCTATTGATCCACTGTGAATCGGAGGGAAAATCAAATCCTTGATTGATCAAATCCTGAACATCATAAGGCTTACACTAACGACTCGTGAAAGTTCATTGAGGTCTATTGTAAGGTTAATCTTAGCTTTAGAGCTACTTAAGCCATCAAAGTGTCACCCTAGCTAAACACCAGGCCCAAGAATTTTGCTAAATCTTGAATAATTTTTTGATAATTGATAGTTTATCAGACTAGACTAGCTTGCGAGTTTTTGTATGGTTATGCTAGCTATAATTATGCATTAGTATTAGCATTTAGTATCAGATATGAAAATTTAACTGGAGCGAGTAGAAGAATGTGTGCAGATAAAGTCAAAAGTTTCCTGAAAAAACAAAGAATTACTATCGAAATCCAAAAAGAAATTCTTTTCCACATTTTTTTCACTTTCTTGTTTTTATTTCCCTTTTTTTCATCATTAAATTTTTTTATTTTACAATTTTTCATTCTTTTCTGTCAAAATAATTTTATATAGGGTAAACCATGTTGAAATTTGTGTGTTTTTGCACATGAAGATTTGATTTGCAAATAAGTTGCTAATGACTGATCATGTAAATTTGGTAATGGGCTCAAAAGATCAATAATTGTGGGAATTTTCAGTTAATAATGTTTTTTCAAGGTTATGCTGCATATGGGAAGAGATTTTTGACTTTTTCGATCAAATGTTGAAATTTGTGCGGAAAATTTTAAAATTTGTGCGAAAAAATGTTGAAATTTGTGCGTTTTTTTAATAGCAATCTTTGACATAATTGCAATTCTTAAATGTAAACAAACATATTTTTTATTTATATTTGGAACAGAAATTGATATTTTGCTGTAGGAACTCCTTTGAATAAAATTTAAATGAAATTAAGAATATAAAGCTGAATTGTTTCAAACCTTTTCCTCAAGAAATAATGCAAGATTCAAGATTTAACTCAATTTGAGCTGGCTGAGTTTACAACCGTCAAAGGAACATCCATTAAATCAGCAATTCCTCGATTTTTGTGTAAATTTTATGCAGCATAGAGTTTTAGCAATAAAAAGATGAAAAATAGGAAATCAAAATGTTTTTATTTAAAGATCTGAAATTGGACACTTAACAGGATATACTTTTTGAATATATGGATCTGTATGGATATCCTTGAAGTCTTTTGCATTTTTGTTTTATGTTTTTTTTAAAATTTTAAATGACCCACGTTTTTAATTTTTATCAGCTATTATCAGTTTTTGACTTTCAGTAGTTCCATTTATGCTATTCTTCATGAAATCCTGTAAAAACATGAATTTCATACGTAAATAATATTTGTTGTTGACAAAAATTCCCATCGCTTTCTACGATAAAAAACGCACAAATTTCAAAATTTGTAAAAAAAATTCGCACAAATTTTAACATTTACAATCAAGAAATTATAAAATCAATTTTTAAAGCACTTCCAATGATTTTTATAACTTGAATTTTTTTGAAACATTATAGCAATTATCAAATTTTATATTTAAACTGTGATTTGATTACAAGCAGCACTGGTTATGCCCAAATATTTTAAAATATGAAAATCACAATTTTGTATGGGATTTTGAATTTTTAAAATTTAAAGCTGCTCCAAGCTTCGAGACTGTCCAAAATGATGTAGAAATGTTTGTACAACTGTTTTACACAGAACTGCAAACAAAATTTTGGTTTAAATGGCTTATTTGGGCTAATTTCTTTTTTATTTGAGCGCACAAATTTCAACATTGCACAAATTTCAACATGGTTTACCCTATGCTCAGAAAAAAAAAGTTTTTATTTTTTTTTTCATTTATTAATTTAATAAATCTCACATGTCATCGCTGTTCTTTGTGTTATTCATTTTCATTAGTATTACACTATTGACCTAGGAATATAAACTTAAATAAATATATTTATATGACAATATTTATTAATTAAATACACATCATTCATAATATTTTCTGCATTTTTTTCATTCTTTGTTTTTTGTGACTTTTTTTTACTATTTTATTTTTATTTAATTTTAATCATTAAGGGTTGTTGAATTCGTTCCAGTTGAACGTCCTTGCAAGCTTTAAATAACTCGGTATGCAAAAATTATTCACATTTTAATTGGATTTTTTTTTAAATCCAGTTTTAAAGTTTTCTTGTTCATTCATTATCACTGTCGTCGAGGAATAAAGTTGGCAATTAGACTTTTAAGAGAAACTTTAAACTGCAAGGCATTCATGAGTTGAGTGGTTTCTAGGAATGGTTTTGGGTTTGAAAGATAAAATTAGGTGAACTTTGAAGTTTTGTTTGAAATCAGACTTTTTATCTGTAATGAAATGCTTAATTTCAATTATTTTATTTCATTTAATTCTTTTTTAAATTAAGCAAATTTCTTTTAATAATTAATAAGATAAAATTTTCAAAATTATTTTAACCGTTGTTTTTTCAAAATTATTTTAACCGTAATTTTTTCAAAATTAATTTTGGCCGTTATTTTTTGATAATATTTCAGACAATTTGTATCATTTTTAAGTAACTCAAGAACACCAGATTCAATAAATATTTCATTCTTAAATCCCACTCACCTCCTGTCAAACAAACTCAGTTCTAATCCCTGTTATATAAAAATTCTCTGCTTATGCTAATTAAAAACAGAAAAAAAACTTATTTAATTTCCTTTTTCATGCAGAAATATTCAACTTTTTTTCACTAAACATCTTTTCATTTCTTAAATATTAAAACTTATATACAAAATTATTTAAAAAAGAAAAAGAATATCTTTTCTGTGGCAATTATCATGACTGACTTAAAGGCTTAAATGTCTTTTTTTTATATCTTTTTTAATGTAATGTGATTTTTTGTTTATATATAGGCTTGTTTTCATTAATGAATATACATCTTCTCAATATTTTATTTATACTCATACACAATTTTGTTATGCATGAAAAAACAAGTTTTTAAAGTCAAAAATTTTCAAGATAAAGATTTGACAGAAGTTTTTTTTTGGAGTATTTTTTGTGGTGTGTGTGTGCGTTTGTGGCTCTTCTCAGATTGAAACTTTTGATGGATATTAAGTTTTGAAAATTTAAGGATAAGTTTATTAGTAAAAAGTTATATTAGATGTGCTTTAATAGTTTGCCAATTGACAAAAACTGTTAACCTCAGTTAAAGTCATTTTGTGAGGACTTAAATAAGGATATAGGTTCGATTCTTACTAGAAACTGATCTTTCAATCACAAAACTCTATCTAGCGAGCATTTAGAAAACTTTGGAAGTGTCACAACATGACAAGAGGCATTGTAAGAATGATTTTGAGAAGTCGAGTGAAGTTTTCTGTCAAGGGTGGAGTTCCATCTATTCCATTAACCCTAGTTAAGCATTTGATGCTTGGTAAGGCTTATGAGGTGTGTTATTCAAGGATGTTTACTATAAGAAGAAGAATTAATGGATTGGATGTATTGAAAGGCTCAGAACTCAACTGTTAGAAAATTACGAAAGAAAGAGCTGTCTTTAAACGATTTCTAAGCATGGCAATAGGTCCACACTTGCCCTAACCATGAAAGTAAGTATAAAGCATAAAAAATCATATTTAAGTCTTTATACCTTTAAAACTAATTTCCATTAGACACAGCTTTGTAAAACGAGAGCGACAAAATCCTCTCATAACCTTAAAAATTCCTCAAAAACCTCCAATTTGTGACACTCAAAATTGTGTCTGACATTCCCATTAAAAATTCCATGTGACAAAAATCTCCGAACACGAAAAGCACATGAAACAAACCAGAAACAAGAGCCGTCTATGAAATTTTCATCAGCCTATGTTTTATAAGCATCGCGTGAATTGTCATCGAGAGAAGAGCCAACAATGATTTCCTTTCCACAATAGGTTCAATATTTACAGAGTACAGGTTAACTAGAGATTGAATAATGAAAGAGATAGAATCTGAATGTTGGGGGTAGGGAGATGGGAGGTTAACAATGTGTTTTTTATGTTAGAAGAAATAGAATAGATTGTGAGGAAGTGAAAAAGTTCCTCATCGATGATTGTTAAGTATCATGTTAAATTGTTGAGAAGGAGCAAGTCATCGATACACGACACATAGAAAAAGAAGCGGCGCTACATGATGATTCGCTACGGTCTCGCACCTAAAAACAGTATTTTTATCCATCTTCATTCTCATCCTGACTGGGGAGTGTGGGCTGTTGCTGCCATCGTTGTCGTCCATTTCATTTACACACACAAACACGTAGGGTAGCTATATAGATGTATATATACTTAATGCGATCACGATGAGTTGAGTCTTCCAAGAGCATAATTGAATTTGAAGAGATAATTGAAGAGAAGAAGTGATGTGGAAATTGTTAAAATGACTAACGATGAATGGCATGTTTGTAATGAGCCAGCATTGAGAGACGAGGCGTCGCCTGTGCGAAATGAAAAGAGAAAATCTTTCAAATTAATTAAAAAAAATGTACAAGACCTTCTTTATTCATGCAACATATGTATTAATTTATATAAAGTAAGTCCTTCTCTAATACGACATGTGCGTGTGATACAGGACTAAAGTCTTTTTACTTCTGGACAGCGTGACATGCTTAAGTCTCCATTAATGTAATAATAACAAATTAAATTATCTTGAAATCAATTCCACTTAAATTAAATGAGAATGGTACGGTAATATTCTAGGTAGACCAACCATTTTCTTTATGCTCAGGCTTTCCTCTTAATTTTCTCATTTAATGGAATTTTTATAAATGAAAGGACAATTTTATGTCCTTAAGATATGACCTTCGTCGGTGAAACAGCAATAAAGGTAAAAGAAATTAAATTTTTTTTGTGATAATTTAATGGAAATTCTCATGAAAATTTTGTCTATTTCGAGAAATTCTTAATGTTCTTTTATTGAATTGCTTCATTAATTTGTCAAATTTAATAGAGCAGTGCTGACAGATTTGATTCAACTTAATGAGTCGTAATTACTCTTGATAATTTAAATAATTATGTTCATTGAGTGTGACGTGACTGGGATTATTGAATTTTTGAGGTAATGTGCCAGATTGAGTACAGGATTAAACAGAGTTGGAACCTAAGAGTTAAGGTAAGGGCAACTATTAGGTTTGTAGATTATTTTGGTTTTTCTTAATTAAGATAAGTTGCTTTTATGGTTAAAATCATTTAAAACGATTCCATTGACTTTCATTAAGAGGATCAATAACTTAAGGATCCCAATAGAATAAGGACTTTGCTTGTAGTTTTGGAATTCGACATGAGGGAAATCCTCTATTTTTGAGTCTCTATCTTTATAACCCTCTCTATCTAAATCTCAACCCTGCAAAACCTCCAACGAATCAATTCAATTAAAATGTCAAGGTCATATCCCTAGATGAGCAAAAGACAACAATGACATTGAATTAATTCCTTATAAAAGGAATCAAAACCCCTAAAAACAAATAATCTTGTCTACGAAGGAACTTTAACTGTTAAATATTGACACTAAGATGATTATACTAATTAAATTAGAATCACTTCAAGGAGTTAATTTACAAATTCTTCAAAATTAATTGAGCATGATACTTGAGAATTTGTTCTTACAATTGTTATTTATTCAACATCAATTTGAAATGTAAACAAAAAGGAGGTAGGATGTGATGTTGTTGTGGAAACAATTAAGACTGGAGTCATGTCTTGCTCAAAATACTTTGAGTTTAATTAAAATTATATTTTAATGATTAACTATTTGTTTTAATAATTAATGATTAAAAAAACCACCAATTTAGCATCGCTTACCTTTAATATTATCAAGGTACGTGTCCTTATCGTCTATCTCATTGTCATCTGGATTATATGAATTATATGATAAACCTATATTATGATTGTGATTCGATGACGCTAAACTCGTCACACGAGGTCGTTCCTCCTCAATAAATCGTTCATTAGATTGTTGGTAAACATCATGCACTCGTGATATGCACTTCACCTATAAAACAGAAACACAGAAATTAAAACTTTTTCTTTCCCTATTGGACAATTAATTTAATTTCTAGTTTCAAAAGAAAAAAAGAGAAATCTAATTAATTTAAGTAATAGTATAAGCTGCAACGCTAGAAGCGATACGAAGCATGATATGATTATAGTGAGAGAAATGGAAGTGAACATTCATATAGATTTTTATAAAAAGCGACAAGAGATAAAGAACAAAATTGAATGAAAAAGATCTTGTAATAGGTGGATACGGTGAACAAAGATGGAATACTGAAGAAAGAAGTTTAGAGGATGAATAAAAGTATGGAAGAAATAATTACAAATTAATTAATAAAGCGCTTGTTTTGTTATGGAATTAGGGTTATTGTAGATTAGAAGTGGTTTAAAAAATTAAAATGTTTGTGAAAGTTTTATAAAAAGCACGAAAAATTTATTGAAGCAAAATTAATGCATCTTAACATCTACAGATGCGGAATTTTTGTACCTTAAGTTTGATGAAGCGGAAATTTTGCTTATTTTGATTTATTAAAGTGAAATTTTTGCAATTAACATCTAATGAAGCGAAGGTTTTGGATCTTTAAGTTTGATGAAGCGAAATTTACGCATCTTTAACTTTGATGAAGCGGAATTTTTGCTTCTTTTAATTTATTGAAGCAAAATTTTGGAATTTTAACTTTTAATGAAGGGGAAGTTTTGCATAAACCAAAAGTTTTGCATCTTCAAATTTAATGAAATGAAATTTTGGCATCTTCAAATTTACTGAAGCATATTTTCTGCTTTGAAATTGATGAAGCAAAAAAATTTTAAAATCAAAACAAAACATTTGCTTCAAGAATTTTTAAATTACATAAAAAAAATGAAGCATAAATGTGCCCCAAGTTGCGTTAAGTAAACTTTCATCCAACCTCAACATTTCAATTCTTTCATTTCTTATTTAACCAGCATAAAGTTAAATATCAATCTTCCAAAAATCAAATAAGTCAAATTGTGGTTAAATTCTCTTCATTTTAACCTAATTAAATAAAAATTTTGCTACAGAAAAGAACAACAAAAGGGCAAAAAGAAACCGAAATATAAAAAGAATGAAAAACGGAAAGAGCAACAAAAGCTACACACAAAAAAACTTTCCCATTCAATTAATTTTACACAAAAAAATGTTAAACATATAAAAGAATGAAAAAGGAACAGTAAAGAGTTGGATATAATGGATGAAAAAGCTAAAAGGTTAAAAAAAAATAAAAAGAATGTAGTAAGGCACGACTTACACTTACAACAATAATATTACAACATTTTTACCTTAAGTCTTCCATTTATAAAATGCTGACTGTTCACAACAAAGTGTAGACCCAAAGTCGATGTTTCCAATTCATTTTTATGATTTTTTTGTGGTTTATGTGGCTTGGTTATTGGTGGATATACCTGAAAAGATAAATGTGTGTATTTTATAGTTATAAAATATGGCAAAAAAAAGCTTTTCATTTATCATGAATTTATGATGATTTAATGGCTTAACACGATAAAGTCGGAAAACCTTTTTTCTACTAGACGAAAACATTTTCTATAAAGCATTTGAGCTAGTGTGCTTAATTAGTCTTACTGGCAGCGAAGAGAAAATATTGACAAAAGAGTTAAATATGGATGGAATGAGACGAAACCAATAATCCAATTTACAGTTGATTAAATCATGTTAATTAATCAATTTATTGATGAAATTTATACCGCTGATGATGATGTTGGCATTAATGAGGCTGTTTAACAGTCAGGGCGGTGGTAAAATTTTAATTAAATTAGACAGAAAAGTTGTGAACGATTTACGATTGAGGCTTTTTGAGTTTGGATTTTGACGTTTAAGAATCAAATTTTTATGGGGCTGTTGGGTATAAAACCAAGACTTAGATATTATTTGACAAGAAGTTGGAGCTTAACAAGTCGCTCAGGCCACTCGAAGCAGTTTATCAGTGGAAAGTGCTCCTCCTTAGAAAGACAAACTTCAAAATCAACAAAAATTCTTCATTTTAATCATCAAAACTCAATTCTCTAGTCTATAATTAAATTCTTGAATATTTTTTTACAAAATTAGTCCTGCATTTGAATTTTTAATTGCACATTTCGAGTAATTTATTACTAGTTTTCTGTTTCACAATTCCGTTTAGCAAACAAATGTTCACGAAACATGAATAAATTTTAATTTGTAGAATTCTCAGAAAATAAGCAGGATGTAAAGTTGCACTGCTATTTCAAATATTAAATCTTCATTATTAAGCTGCATAAAAATACAAATTTCCAGCAAACCCAAATAGAAATAAAACAAGGGGCTACCCAAAAGTGGTAAGAGGATTAAGTTGTAATTAATAATTAACATTTTGATTATTATTCGTGCTTACTTCTTCTTTATCTTATTAGTATTGTTGTTTGCTACCCAAAAAAAAGCCACAAGCCTCAACCGCAAAGTCTCTTCCGGTGAAAGAAGCTTTTCGTAGACACTCTGGAAAGTTTTCCCAATATGCTATTATAACATGTAACTTGTCCCACCCATTCTATTAGTAAAATTTTCTCCTTCTTCTCTTTTAACTCATATTATAAATGTCGACTATATACTGACATATGTGAGTATTACGTATAATACGGATCAGATGAGTATTTGGGGGTTGTATGAGGTTAAATGCTTAAGTTGGAGTGTCTCTCACTCCTATAAAAATCGCAAAATATTGGAAAGTACTCCAATCATACACTGACTACAACCCTGATAAGCACATATATAAAATAAATTTATAAACATGAGCGTAAGAGTAACAGAGACATTTCTCGTACCATTTTCCTTTTTGTGGGAAAAGATAAATATTTGCTCACATGTAGATAAGTATAGATGACTAAGTGTATATGTATGTCTGTGTACTTTAGAATAAAAAGATTAAGACTTCCCCTCGTTTTTTTTCTTGTACCGATTTAAGGTTGAAATACGGAAAGAAAATATTTCGTCTTGGGAGCTTCGTTTTGTCTCAATTATCATCATGCTTGAAATTTATTGGATTATTGTCGCGTCATGCAGTTTTTGGGGTGCATTGGTTAAGGTTTATGCATATATGACCAGTTGTACTAAGCACTTTCTACTAAATATTCATTTGTAAATATCTTAATTTGCGTTAGTGGTCCTACACTAATGACGTCCGTCAGTGGCATCAGTAGCAGAGCATTGACCGTATGTGCCGAAAGTTCTGGGTTCAATCAAGTTTTAGAAGCTTTTTTTCCATTTCACTGTTCTAGTTACGAAACTCAGTTCTTACATTGGGTGTAGTTTTAAGATCTTTGGCATACAATGTGTTCTGCTATGCTAGGTATACTTGGATATACTTGCATCTGGAGAGGGGAGGGTGCAGGGTGCCTAAAATTCTCGTTTTTTGTGGACATCATTTATTAAATGACAGCAAAGTTTCAATTCCATTTCCAATCCTTTTTCCCATTCTCAAACATACAATAAGTTATTACTAAAGTATATGATAGCTTTTTGATCATCCCATTCGACTCTTTCACATTCCTTAAACTCATCAGCAAAATGATGATGGTGAAAAAATAAAAAATCTTCAGCCTTTTATTCATTCATGGATTTGTAATGAGGGAGCAGAGAAGGAGCAAATTCATTTTTTGAAATATTTCCATCTCATTCTTCCTTATTTTTGCAACAAGAAAATGATAATATTTTTTAAATTGAAAGCAATTATGTTGAATGAGAAATGTTATGTGCTTTCTCTCTTTTCTTCATTCCTTGAATTGAATTCCATAACATTCATAACTAAAAAATGAGAAAAGAATATCGCATTAATGCCGCTGCTACTACAAAGCTGAAATGAATAAAATAAAAAAAAATTCCATTTCTTGTATAAATGTAAAATGAGGCAGGATGAATTTGGGAGTTGGAAATGGAATTGTTATGGAATTTTTTGGTTGTTTTATGGCGCTTTTTTTAGATGATTTTGAAGTTGGCAAAAGATTCTTAAGTTGCAGACTTAAAAGTAGCTTTCCTAATTTCACACTCTGGAGATGCAGCTTAAAACTCTTTCTTAGTCTTGTTGGTTAAGCTGTTTTTTAAGTAAGCTTGATTAAGTTTTAAAAGATTATATCCGGAACTAGGTTTTAGAGAACCTCTGAGTTCTGCAATGTACGTAAGTGAGTACAAGCTCTACCTGGAATGAAACACTTAACACAATGTCTAGTTAATTACTAGAAGTAGGGAAGTTCCCAAAAAAATGGCCAGTGGTCGTTGATTACTAGAAGTAGGAACGACGAATGACATTTTTTTGGGATTGTCCCTACGTCTGGTAATTGACTGGACATCATGTCAAGTGTTTTACTCTAGTTGGTCTTGGTTTGAATATTAATTCTGCAGAAGATCTTAAAGATAAGCTGACAGAAGCTTTGAAACCCATTAATTTGACCCTAGGAGTGTCTCATAGTGCACACTATTAGCTACACTTATGTAGGACTCCAAAGAAACAAAATTCGTAAAATAATTACAAATTTATTCCAGCCATTCAACTAAAAATGCACAAAAAAACTTTTTCCCTTAACATGACTTGTCCAAATAAAGCCAAATTGATGACAATAAAAACATCCAAAAATATGAAAATTTAAGCTAAAAAGAAGAAAGGCACATTTAATTTTAATAGATTTCCATAAAAATGGCATTTAGTTATTGTTGTCGATTATAAATAACATAAGAGAAGAGAATAAAGAATAACTTATTTTTATGATTAATTGTTAAGCTAAATATGGAATTTTTATTGCTCGCCATTCAAATGAAAAAATTTTTTTTGCTAATGTAAATGTTTTGTAAATTATGTTTTGTAATGTCTGCATTTAGTGCACATTGAGATGAGAGATGGTAAATTTATTAATATCATAAAATGAGCTGCTTAAAAATCCATTTATTGAAATTATTTTCCTTTTGAATGAGCATGAAAAGCTTTTAATCTGCTATTTATGTTATTTTCTGTGTGGTCATTTTGAATTATTTCATTCACATTTTGTGTGTGCGCTTTAAAATGCTTAACTATTTTAATTTTTTTTTCATCCAGCTTCTGTGGACTATCAAATATCGATTTCTGTGATTTTAATTTTATGCAAAATTTGTATGAATTGCAAATTCTCTACGGAACCATTTGATAATAAATAGGTCATTATTTTTGATTTTTGAGGGGATGTAGAAACATTTGTTGATGCTAGAATGTGGCATTCATATTTGTTGAGGAAAAAAAAGCATTGATTTCAAAGGTTTTTGAATGAAATTTAATTCTAATAATGGTAATGAGATGCATTCATGAAGATTTTTGAGTTCAATTCTATACATTTACGACATTTACTGAAACTAGCAAGAAAGTTTTTCTATCGGATTAATTTTAATGAATATTGAGAGGATCTTGTCGTGATATCACGATCCCGAGCTTTACATATCGGGCCGATCAATTTGTAAATCCGGAAATCACTTTTTTTAAAGAAGAACAAATCTTTTTTACAAACACCCCCCCCCCCCCCCCCCCTTACACCCTTCTCCTTCCACTGACTGTATTAAGTGATGATTGAATTCGAAAACCAAAATGAATGCATTAGAGGTGAATTTGATCCCAAACTACGTTTTCCCTTTTTGAAAAAAAAAATACCCAAACTACAAATTTTCTTGTCCGTACCATAAACTTATAGCCCCCACCCCTCTCGAAAAGTTTCTGAATTCGCCTCTATTGACGTACACGAATTTTATTAACTGTGCACAGTTCGGGCAAAGACAAGTCTCAAGTGCATCACAAAATTCCGCATCAAAATATTTCTATTGAACTACAATAAACTTTAACTTTTGTTGCATTCTATAAAACTTCGTCTCTATCTTCATTAAAAGTATTCCTCGTTATTTAAATTATACATTTATAAATATTTTAAGAAGTTTATTCTACTAAATAGAGGAAGAATCCTGCATTCCTTGACTTTTTATTATCAGATGCAAACTTTTTGTCTAGAAGAATGTTGCTTTACTTTCGCTAATGGGTCGTTCACTTGTTAGGTTTGCTTTTTATTCTGTTATTTTTAATAGAAGCAATTTAAAATTTGTAGATTGTCGAGATTGTCAACAGTTTAGCGCCAATATAATTTATCAAACCTTAATTAAATGCGATACACTCCGCATGTGACGGACTTATGTGAGACATCAGTCAGATCGCAATTCTGCTGAATTTTATTAAAAAAACTTACTCCAACTCATCAAATTTCATCTAACCCTATCTAAAACTTCTCCCAAAAAAGTCAGCACATTAAACAAATATTTCCCTTATCCTCAATCAACTCAGTAAATTACTCAAAAAGTCAAATTTAAATAAAAACTCAGTCAACCCATCAGAATGAACATACAACTACATTTTCCCATACAAAAACCGCTTTTAAAAGCTCACCACAATTCAAAGTTGCTGATGCAGTGTAACAATTCAAACAGAAAGAAAGAAGTGAATGAGCGAGTGAGATGGAAAAGTTCAGAAACTTTATCTACTCATTCAATTGAAAATCAGTTGAAAAAAAAACATTTTTCTTTATTGAAACATCAATTTGATTGATTTTTGCTCTTCCACATGCATAACCCTAGAAAAAAGGCACTAATGAGTCTCGTCTATAGTCGGTGAAATGAATAGAAAAAAGGAGAAATAATTTCAATTTCAATTTCTTTTCTTTTTCGTTGCATAAAGAGCCCTTAAATGCGGAAAAGTGTTTATGTTAATGCCGCTGACTATTTAAACAATAAGTGACTGAAATTTCAATAATATATGGCGAGTAGCATGATTCTTTTTTGTGTGTGCGCATTTTTCTCATTAAACACAATGAATTTCATAAAAATATATATATTTCATGTATTGTTTGTTATAAGTTATGAGGGGAGAAAAAGAAAGAGAGAATAGAGCCTCTTATCAGATCGTTAATTTTTCACAATGTTGTAACTTCATAATGACTAAAAAGTAAGTGGTTAAAAAATGATGATGGAGAGTGAGTGAGTGAGATGGGAGTTGATATAATAATTGTAATTTGTGAGGGTTTAAAGCGCATTTTAGCTTTGGTGATAGTTTGAGGCTGGATTTGAATGCAATGCTAAATTATTACATTTTGTGAACTTCAGATAAGCTACAAATTGACTAAAAAGTGACGAGTTAATGCTTTGAAATTAGGGTTGTCTGTCCACATGGTTGCTAAACAGCCACGATCTTATTGAGAACCATTTGGACTGATACATTTGGCACTTTTGTCACAATATCACTTCTATTGTCTCTTCTCAAACTCGAACCACATTGCTGTTCGAAACCTATTCAATAAACCTTATTAAACTTTGGGTTTCAGACAGAAATTCGCCAATATTTGCAATCTAAATCCTGTTCTGATCCATCCTATGTTACCTGAGTCCAGTTGGTGGAATAAAACTCCAAAGTATTTCCTCACATTTAAACAAACAAACTCCCTTGAATATGCATAATTCTCCTAGCCAAAGTGTCAACTTTTATTCCCACAACCCTCAAAACAATGTTAAAAATTATTGAAAAGAGAAAAACATGGAAAATTTGTCAATGACTATGGCGCATTTTTCGAATGAAGCTTTGAAATTCAAATCAGTGGAAAATAATGCGGAAGGAAAGGTTGTTTAGCATTTGAGTTCTGAGTGGAAAATTATGAGGTTTTATTTTAGGAAGCATTGTTCATATTTTTAGAATTTAATGTAGCGAGTGCTTGAATGGAGGTTCATTGTACATTTCAATTTGAGATTTTAACCTTAAAATCTGGTATATATTTGAACAAGTTTCTTTTATCTTTAAACTCCTCCTCATTAACATCTCAAAACTCAAACAATTCCAGACAATAAGCCACTCTAAACCCTCCATCATCTCCCCGAAACCATAAGTCAACAAAGAAACAAATGCTAAACTTTAATGCCATTGGCGTAAAATGATTTAGCAGAAAATTTTCTCTTTTTATATTTATTTTTATCCATTCGTCGACGAAGTAATTGATGTATGAACTATGAATAATACTACATAAATTTTCCGACTAGTTTAACAAACACAAAGCGATGTCAAGAAAAAGCCTTTTAGATGTTATGCCAACAAAAAAAAAAGGTTCCTCGTGACTGCACAATTCTTATAATATACTTACGGGAACATCATTAATCGTCCATGTTAAATTGGCTGCTGGTCGAGAGTATTTTGCTGTACAATTTCCTCGAATTATATCGCCTGGCTTATAACGTGCTCTGATTCCTAGAATTTGTGGTGATTGGTGTGGCACTTCTGTAGAAATAAAATAAATTTTAATGGTATCATTTTTATATAACCTCAAAATGGTAACCTAACCTCAAATTAAACCCAAAAATTTCTCACATCAATATAAAACTTGCAGTAGACGACAGACACTCAAACAATAAAATAATAATTGACATTATCCGATATTAAAAATGTCATCTGTCAGTATCTCATAGATTATCCGTACTTAAAAACATGCACAACTATTTTTTTGTTCTTTTCAGTTCAATTCCTAACAACTTAATCCGACAAATCAATGAAAACTTCCTTTCATCATCGTGTTCTCGTTTATTCAAAGCTGATAACATCATTGACTGACTTATTTCTTTTTAATCCTAGCCTAGCAAGTCGGGAATGCAATTTGCCAACAAATCAAAAGGCAGGATATCATGATATCATAAATCCCTCATAATTGCATCACGACAACCTTTCGCACGAAAACCTCTAAAGTGGATATCATTGTGCAACAGCAGATTATTTCACAGCATAAAGGTTTGGGTTGGAAAAAAAAAAGTTTTTCCTTCTTTTTTTCATACATACAAAAAAAAGTTGCATTGCATTTATTTATTCATCCAATGTTATTGTTTTTAACGAAGCATAAAGAACGATGGAAAGTTTTCATTAATTTTTTTCCCCTTCTTCTCTTTCTCTCTCTCTTGTTTCATATTATTATTATTTTTGCATGTATATAAATACATTTTCCACGACACTGGCACCAAGAGAGTTGTGAAACAGTGCTTAATACAGAATGAAATAATGTGAAATAATAAAAAAAGAGTGAAAAAAAACAAACAAGAAAAATGGAAAAAAAAGTTCATTTTGAGCTTTATAATGTGTTTGAATGTGGAATTAGCTTGATTGAAATGTTTGTAGATCCATTTATTAGATAAGCTGACATTCTGTTATGTAAGAAATGTAGATGAAGTCAAGGATGATGGACAAAATTTTATTGATTGCAAAAAATTTTAATGAGCCTTGACCATGATGGTGTCTAAGGCTGTGGTTGCAATAAAATCTATTTTAAAATTTTGTGCGTCAGGATATAGGAGCCTTAACTTTGATCTGAGTTTAAAGTTCTGTTAAGAAACCTTTAAAAAACGGTTCTGACATATATCGATGTCGAAGGCTTAATTTTTTTGATTTTGCAAGTGAAATCAAGCTAGCCCAAAAAGTACAAATAGTTTAATCGAATAGAAATCCGGCACCAAGCTATCTATTGGATTAACCGAATTGTGCTATTGAAGTAACATCAAGTTCTGATTTACAAACTAATTTGGAGTTTAAACACTATTTTTCGGAACTCTTATTTGGTACCATTGAGGAACATAAACGACAGAACTTCCAACACGAATCCATGAAGACTCCCTCGTTCCATTAATTTTCTTTTCTTTTGATTTTACTAAAAGAAAAGAGCAATTTGTGTTGCTCAGGGATAGCTCATTAGAGTTTCGAAAAATTGTGTTTGAACTGCAAATTAGTTTGTAAAGCAGAGCTTGAAGTCAATTCGAAGTCTATTGAATAATTTGAAAAATTTCAAGTCTTCAACATCAAGCTATGTGAATTAAATCATATTAAAGTTTACCAAACACAACCTCAGACTAAGATCAATGTCAAGGCTCCTAAAAGGGTTCAAATCTTCAAAATGGCTTTTAGCGTACCACGAGTCAAAAAAAACTTTAGAAGCATTACATTAGACATCCGAAAGATCTCAACTGTCAATAAAATAAGTCTTGATAAAACAAATAAAGCTTTCAATTCCACAAATCAACATATTTTCAAGTTATCAAAAGTTTGGATCTATAAAATTTCAACCTCCACCAAATCACATGAATAAGAATTTCTATAGTTGTCTGGTCCCGTTTTTTGTTGTATTTCATTTATTTTAATTTTTTTATAGCTTTATAGATACACATTTTTTTCCAAGCCCGTATTTCATTAAAAGAAAATACAAAAGTACACAAAGTTTCACATGAGAATTATGTATAGTCGGGGTAGAAAAAGTAAAGTTGCGGGGAATGAGAGATAAAATAAAAGTCCTCGCTTTTTATACTCAATTCAGTATGACAAACAAAATAATAAAAGAACTCCACCATACTTGGAAAAACATTCCTTTCATGTTTAATTACCATTTTGAGTTCATAATAATTATGAAATAAACTTTTCAGCATAAAAAACGAGATATAATCATGACATACCAACAACTTCCATGTCACCAGAAACGATCATCGTGTGAAATGATGGAAAGTCTGCGGACACTTCACATGAAAATTTTCCTGTCGTCGCCGGTGTTACGCTGGATAGTGTTAATTGACTTTCATTTGATGCTGATTGCTGTAAATGGAAATGAAAAAGATTTTTTTAAGAGATTAAGTTTTGTGGGAAAAATGAGCAAAAAAAGCATCCTTAGCAGTTTTAGTGATACTTACCATAACATGAACACCTGCAATTGGGAATGTTTTCATTGCTGGATTTTCTTTTGGCGAATAACGGTAAAATTCTCTCCTTCCTGTTAATGGTAAACAAGCATATAAATTTAATGAGCAAAAAAATAGAAAGGGAAGATTTTTTTAATGAAAATCCTTGCAATTTAATTTTGATGCAAGATAGGAAAAAGTGGCTGGATGGAGTTTTTGATTAGTGTGTCTGGAAATTTTGTGTAAGAAAACTCAACACCTTTGAGAATTATTTTTACAAAGTAGATGAATCTTAGTGTTCTTGAGAATCAGGTGTTTTATGAAAAGGAACTTGAAGTATTCGAGCAATACATTAATAGAAACTGAATGACTAGTTTCAATAGCCATTGTGATTCATGGTTTAGAAGCAGTAAAAAAAGCATTGGTTGCGTAGTGGTTGGTGGGTTGGGTTACTAACCCTAACGACCCTGGTTCGATTCTAGAGAAAGTCTTATCGGATTTGGATGCTTTTTTACTGTTCTAGTCATTGAAATTAGGTTTGTGTGATTTAAAATGCACAAATTATGGCTAGTTCCGTTGCATTGAATTATTTTGTGTCATACAACTGTTCAAAGTTGCAAAATGTCATCGACTTCAATGACAAAACAACAATCTCCCTGATGTTCATCGTATCGAATTCATCAATGCCCTATCGGACAAGTGAGTATACTCATGGTGCCGTGTTTGGAATATATCATGTTTAGAATATACTCTTGAATATGTTACGGTACCATGATTATACTCACTTGTCTGTTAAGGATGAATTATTTCAAAAATACGATTAGGTTCTGGACTACATAGTTTTTCGCCTCACATATTCACATCTCTTAAATGCAAGACAAAAGTATACAAAAATTTTAACCCTCAACCTTCCTCAACTAATTATAATTGCCAACTCCACTTAATTTCATCTTAACATCCAAAGTACAAAAGAAATAAGAAATAATCTAAAAAGAATCAAAAAACTTACCTTTATACCATTTTACAGAATACAAACTATCTCCTTCCATATCATAATAACAGTTAAGAACAACGGTATCAGATTTGCGGACAGCTGAAGGTATCTTAACACGAACATCTCTTAAAGAGTGGATTACTGTAAATGAAGAGAAGAAAAAAATAGAGGAGAATGAAAAAAAGATTTCAAAATAATTAAAATGTAAATGCATATAAATGAGAACAATTGTTTGAGCTTGGATGTCGACAAGCGCTGAGAGTGAAATCGTCAAAAAGGCTCATCTTCTTTTTGTTCCATACAAATTATTGTTGGTATTCATGGAGATTATGAACAAGATGGAAAAAAAGTGATACTTTGAGTAAACAGTCATTTACAGGATGCTGTAAAAAGAGACCACAAAGGATTTTTTCCCTACTTCCTTTTTTACACAGTTGTGCACAAAAAGGACGGCTTTTTTAGCTCTCTGTTGCTATTTTTAAATGCATCTCATGTGGTTTGGTCGTTGTTTGTGTCGAAGCATAAAAAATGAGTTACAAAAGAATTCGTTTGGTTGCTTGCATACAAATTGCTACAATGAAAAAGGAAAATGGATATTTTTTATTCCGATGGATATGACAGGGTGGGTTTCTGTCATTTTAGCTGTCTTGAACAGCAATTGAGCCTTGTGCAAGGAAATCTGGTAAATAGATAAAAAATGTCAATGGGCTTTTCACTTATGAAGTACAAAATTGGCGGGCATTTATCAAAAAAGAGCAATGGATTTCCTGGAATTTCTATTGTTCTATTATTGTTTTGCTGGACCCCCTACCTCCTGGACGTCATAAGTCAACGGCCCTCAAGTTGTTGGGCTATTGATGCAAATTTAAACTCGTGCCAGAATATATAGGTACAGACGAGTAAGTGAATAAATGCATGTGCATGTATATGATCATCACTTGGCTATTGAGCAACAAAAACACATTAAGTCTCGCTGCTCCAAAAACGGAATATAGTGCAAATCGTAGACGTACTTCCGCGGAACTTTTAGCGGAATTCCTCAGAATTTTATTACAACGGAATTTTACAATGGAATTCTACGTAATTACGCATAATTCCACTTTTCAATTTTGTTGCGTTTAATTTTTGCGATTCGCATTTTTCATGGAATGTTCCACAGAATTACGTGTAATTACGAGGAATTATTTAGAAAAATAAATTTTATATTTTAAACTTTTATCTTAAAAAATGAAAAGTTGAGATGATTGTTTTATAAAGTGTTTAATGATAAGTATACATTTCTATATTTTTTTCCTCTTCAATTAATTTGAATTTAACTAAATTTAATTATTATATATTTTTTGAAGCTAATCTTTGCAAGAATTTTAATTCATTGATTCTTTTTAATTTTAAATCTTTAAGTGCTGAGTCCGTATTATCTGGCAGAATCTATGGATTTCCATGGAATTCCATGGATTTAAAGTACAAGGATTTCCATAAATTAAAACAATTTTGACCCCCAAATTTGTGGGGGCTAGACATTTGCACCGAAAAATGATAAGACTAGTGGATAAAATATCCGAAAAATGAAAATAATTTAGTAAATACAAAAATATATATTATGTTAAAGAGACAATTAATTGATACATTGTTTGAAGTTTAAACATTATTTAAGATAGAGGATTAAGAAAAGTAAAGTTTAAGGCTAAATTTCACACTGGAAGTCAAATTTACCACAAATTAGTCAATATTCACACGAAAGTTGAAAGTTGTATAGATTTTTTCCTTTTTGAATTAATTTTTGAAAAATTGATGCAAAAAGATTGTTACGGCTGAAACAAAATCTAGTAAAATTGCTGAAAATTACACAGCTCAATTCAAAAATTGAAAAATCTTAAATAGCATTTATATGGAAAACTTAATCAAGTTGATACTTATATTTTATAAAAAAAACTTCTAGTAAAAAGTAGTAAAAAGTGAATTTACTTGCATCAAAAATAGTTTAAATTCGACAATTTTTTTGAAAAACAATTAAAAATACTAAAACTTTTTTTTTACCTGATCAATATTTTTTTGTAAAATTAAGAATTTTTTGCACAAAAAAACAATAAATCAACTCACTGTGAGGTAATGAATCCACTCAAGTTTTGAAGTGATCTTATTGCCTCATAGTGAGATATTAAAGACGATTCCAAAAATGTTGCGAATTTATTAACTTCAAGTGAAGACAAAAATCTCTTATACAAATGATTTTATCCAAGTGGACTTATCGTCTTGCAGTGAAAATATTAAGACCACTTATAAGTGGCCTTATTGTCCCTTCGTGATTTTTCGTTTGGTTGTGGTTTCGTTGTGGACTTATCATTTTTCGGTGCAAATGTCTAGCCCCCACAAATTTGTGGGTCAAAATTGTTTTAATTTATGGAAATCCTTGTACTTTAAAGATTTTTATGATCTATGGATCGTTTGTTATAGTCCATGGAAATCCATAGATTCTGCCAGATGATCCGGACTCTTTAGATGGAATAAACAGTTTTAAATGTTAAAATTTTTTTTAAAGGAATTCCTCAAAATAATATTTTATATAATTCCGTGTAATTACGCTAAATTCCGTATAGTTATGTTATAAAACTTGCGAATCGCAAAAATTAATCAATTCAGTTTTTTTCCCGGAATTTATTTGAACTCGACATAATTATGCATTATTCCGTAGAATTCCTTAACTTCTTTATGAAAAATGTTCCGTATAATTCTGCAGAATTGCGCACAAATAATTCCACGTAATTACGTCTACGATTTGCACTACACCCCTCCAGACAGATTCACTCTTCTGTCATTCTGACAAGTTATCATTTATATTGATTAATTTTATTTAATGTTGTCACATATGACCGAATAAGACCAGAATACTTGAGAGTAGCCTTAAAAATCATCCCTGTCTTAGTAGAAACCAACATCCATTCTCCAAGCTTCTTCACTATTTCCAGCAAACATATAATTCACTCTAATGCGTTTGTACAAAAGAAGTCAACAAGAAGGCATTATTCCCATTCACAATTGTAGAACTTTATTGTTCATTGACAGTACAATGAAGTGTTACAGAGGTCTTTTCCATTTGTTTTGACAAAAGACATGCTTTTCATCATTTTCATACATTAGTTTAATTGCAAATGTAAGCAAAAGGATTCATTAATGCATGAGAGAGTACTTTTGAATGGAACTAGAGCAACTTAAATAAAGATGAAGAAGAAAATTCTCAAAGGAGAAATTTTAAAAAATTTTCGCATCAAAAAATCTGAAAGGAGATGACACAAATTTATCCTTGATGATAGAGAAATTATTCAGACATGGTTTTGTATCATAAATCTTAATTTTACTAAGAAACTGCATGATCCCTTCGAAATTTTCAATTCATTTTACAAGAGGAGTTCTATTCATCCCCTAACTTCTACCTCAAACCATTGTGGAAATATGAACATTGTAAAACATTTGCTGTGCTTATAAAATTGTCTGCATAATAACCAAAACAATTTTTTCCATTATCGTTTCGTAGAAATAAAGTTTTCAAATAAATTTCACTCCGCTGGCTGACTGTGTCTACGTAGAAGTAAGAGTGAGCAATGATGGAAGCAGTAAGATTTGTTTTTGATGCTATGAAGGTCTTGGGCGCTTTTGTTGCTGCACTCATAGTTGAATAGCTGATTTTCTGCTTAAATCAAGTATTTGCGTTTGAACCTTCTGAATATGCCCAAGTTATAGTCTTAAAAATTAAAGGAAATCACTGAACAGAGTCAAATAAGTGTTGGGACTTTGATTTCAAAGGTACAATTTCTCTATTATAAAAGTCTTAAGTGTGAGGGATATGCGATGAAAATTTCGCTCAGAGCCTAGAACCTACAGCTTTTAGTGGAATCCAAACCATTCTTTTGATGAAATTCCTGTCTGTAGCCAACATAAAACACTGTGAGCTACATACATTTCTGGTATAAATGGTTCAAAAAATAATAAGTTCAATTCCCAATGTGGAGTTTCGAACCCATGATCGCATTTTCCGTATTGCAATAATTAAGTACCAAAGTTTTAAACCATTCCGTCACTGAATCACTTCAGCTCACATAGACATAAATGTATGGACGTACTTAAATGTTGGAAACCTTTGTCAACGACTCTATTGCCAATTAACTCTTAAAAACACAAACGATTGATTTAAGGATGAAATATCGTATTTTGCATGAAATGATGGACAAGATCATGAAAATTACATTTTTCCAGACAAACTGATCATCTAGTTCAATTAAATTTTCTTTTGAAAAAATTGCATTCCTAAAAACTTTATAAATTCTTCACAATTTCCTATTTTTTCTTCCTCTTTCCTTTCCAAACCTCCCTCCATTTAAGTTAACTTACAAATAAATTTTATAGATGTATGTTTTTGTATACAAACAATTCGCCCTCTTATTTCGCTTTTCTTAATTTAATGGGTTCAAAAGAAGAAGACGAAAAAAATAAAAAGAACTGAAAAATGGCAAAAAAATTTGGGTGCTTAAAAATACAACAATAAAGTAAGGGTAGGTTACGAGAATAGAGCGTAGGAAAGATGTAAATAGAAGAAAATAGAAAAGTGAGGGTCATTTAGGGGATTTTTATGCTCTAAAAATTGCAATTCGCCTTTTTTCTTCTTCTGTTAATGTCTCTGCTTACAGCAAAAATTATGATGAGGGGGATTTACAAACTAAACATTAAAACATTTGCAAGACAATTTGTCACCCTTCGATAACAACTCTGAATCGACATTGTCGACTACATTTATATTAATTATATGCGATTCAGCATGTCTCATTTTTTCTCTTCCGAGATATTTTTATTGGACATTTTTAGGGGACTTAAAGAAATTGATACTGCAAGTTGGAGGAAGACTGCAATCTTAGCGAAAGTAATGCAATCAGGAATAAATGTTTCAATAGTCCAGTTATATAACTGAATTTCTGAGATTCAGGTTATTAAGGAACACGAGTTCGAATCTTAGTTAAATGCTTGAATTTGAAATCCGACAAAAATAATCAATCAACATCATCAAAACCCCTATTCCAATTCCATATACCTATAAATAGTCTATAAAGCAATGAATGAAAATAAATGGAACTAAAAAATAGAAGGGAAAT